GCTAGCACAGATTGGCACTTGCTCAATAACTTTTGTTGCAGCAGCAGCATCACAGGACCCGCACGCGGCCTTCGACGCGTCGCTCCGTGCATACACACCGTCCACCATTGCCCAGTACTTCAGGTGCGTCCGCGCCTTTTTAACCTTCATCGAAGCACTCAGTGTCGGCGTGGGAGATTTGCTTCTCGTGCATCTAGTGGACCTCTTGCATGCTTGCGAAAGCTCCAAGCTAGAAGACCGCAGCAGCGTGCGCGTAGCACCTCGACCCATGCTCAAAGCACTCTCATGGCTTGCCCGCATAGGTCAAACAGAATCACTAGCATCTCTGCTCTCCAACCCGCTGGCGAGAGCCTTCGCATCCCCTCAGCAGCCTCAGGAAAGGAAGGCTCTGCCTCTGCCCCTGGCAATTCTAGCATCCTGGGAGCGCAAAGTTTGTGCAGCCGACTGCACGCATAACCTGCGCATCACACTAGGCTCGTTTCTCTTGGCGGCCCACACAAGCATGCGGTTTGGGGACATTCAGCGCATCAAAATCAGGGAGATCAGCCTTACTCAGCATGCTCTGCGAGGATCATGCTGGGCAACAAAAACTACAAAACTAGGACCCGTGGTGGGCGTGTACCCTGTTCGGCCTCACAGGACGCGGAGCACAATCCTCTTGGCTGATCAAATGGCTCGAGAGCCTTAGCGAAGCGGTCACGCAAAGCATTTCAGAGCCCTTCAACTTGCCAGAGCCGGACTTCATTATGCCCGTGTTCGCATGCATGGACGACAACACGCACCCTAAGTTCTCGGGACCGCTGCCGTACACGCAGGCCTTGTCTTTGCTGCGCTGGGCTGTGCAGGCCCCTTGGGAGCCTCGCACTTCAGCATGCTTCAACTCAGATGAAGCCCAAGTGTACACACTACACAGCCTAAAAGTGGCACTCTTGAGCGCATCCGCCCAACTCCGCCTGCCAGAAGAGTCAAGACGCCAGCAAGGGCATCATCGCATTAACTCAGTGCAACTGTACAGCCGCGACGACACAATCGAGAGCCTCTGGGTGCAAGCACAAATCGCAGCCGCACTCATCCGAGGCCACTCGCCCGCAACCCAGAAAAGTCAGCATCCGGTCTTCGAGCCGGTTTTTCGTGTTGACGCACTACCCATCCCAGAAAGCGTGAATCTGCAGGACCTTCCCTCACCTCTCCGCATGTTCACCTACGCGAGAGAACAGCAAACTCAGCCAAGCATGGCAGACCCAGAAGCATGGGCCGTGCAGGACATTCAGTCCTCAGACAGCTCCAACGCACCAGAATCGGGCGAGGAGTGCCCCGGAGAAGCACCGCTTCAACGGTCATCATCAGCACTCTGCTTGGTTCAAGTCACTACGGGGGCAGCTGTGCATGCAGTATACAGCTCCCCGGAGCACCTAGCAGAGGTAATACCTCCGCTTTCCAGAGTCGGCCGCGTGCCAGAGTGCGCTTCAGGCCGCATGATTTCTGGCCTCACGCATCAGCTCTCACGCTTCACCCTGCGGACGCACCGCGGAGACCCGAGCACGTGAGTGCATCGCAAACGCACTAAAGAGGGGGTGAGGTGATTTGACCGTTTGCTTAGAACCCTAAAGTGGGGGCATTCCGACAGGCTCCGCGTGAGATGCAGGAAGATGGAGTGGACGCGCATCGTCACTCCACCTGCATCTCAGAGCCTGCACTTCTAAGCAACGCTCAAGTAAAAAAGCGCGTGTCGAGTTTGTTTTGGTCGGATGCTTTTTTCCTTGCATGTCCTTGTAGGCTTGAAGCAGTGACCAAGATTCTAACGCTAGGGGTTTGTCTTTTCCCCTGTGTTTTAATCTTGGTTGAATCTTCGGCCGCGTGGCTGTTTCTGCTTCAAGCCCTTTAGTAAGGGACATGCCTTGAGGGTCTGACCCCTCTTTCGTTCTTTTTGAACCCACCCTCCCACCCTTTCACGGCCCAGGTGGAAACCAGCTTCCACAAGGCCTGATTGCTGGGTGGCTGCGCACGCATGGTTGCCAGCTTTCCCGCTTCCAACATTTTGTTGGCTTACTGCATCCCGCAGGACCCGTTTAGCCTGTGCAAAGAGGCCTGATAGCTAATTGCTGAACACGCGTTGTCGGCAAGCTTTCCAGCATCAAGCATGTTGTCGGCTTACTGATCCCGCAGGACCAGTTTAAGCCTATGCAGTGAGGACGCATTCCTCGTTGGCCACACCAGTTTGAACCCATGCTGTGCACGCAGTCGCACATCGCTGAATGCCATCGGCATTCTGTCGGACCAGCCTGGTCCCCTTCAGGAGGACGCATTCCTCCCATGCACGCATTGCATACCGATGTGCAACATACCTCCTATTTGTCTCACACCCCATGGGTAAAACACCCTGCTGTGTGATGGTCGAACACGCAATGTTGATCACAGGGGGCATTCCGACAGGCTCCGCATGAGATGCAGGAAGATGGAGTGGACGCGCATCGTCACTCCACCTGCATCTCAGAGCCTGCACTTCTAAGCAACGCTCAAGTAAAAAAGCGCGTGTCGAGTTTGTTTCGGTCGGATGCTTTTTTCCTTGCATGTCCTTGTAGGCTTGAAGCAGTGACCAAGATTCTAACTGTTCCGAAGTTGGGAAGCACTGAAGGAGGGGAATGTCTCGCAAGTGCCCTTTTCAAGCAACCTGGCAAAAAAGGTGTGCGCCTTGCGGTCGGCTTTTGGGTTCTGGGTTTTTGGTGATTTAAGGCTTGCAGTGCGGACCTTTCCGCCAAGGTTTTCTTTTTCCTTTGAAAGGTCTGGGGTGAATCCGACGCCGCTGCCGTTTGGTGCTCCAAGCCCTCAAGCTCACGTTCGTTTGGGACTGCAGTGCTGGTTTCGTGAGCACCCAACCCTTGAGCCCTCCGCAAGCTTTGGAGTCCACCGGGAAAACTGAGAGCGCTCTCCCCGCCTTTTGTGGCCCAGACCGCGGTCTGGCCCTGTTTGCATCTTTGGCCCGCTGGTCCTCTGATGCAGGGTGTGTGCGCACGTGAGATCTGCGCAGGGGCGCCCTTTGCGGCAGCGGGAGATGCCTGTGCGCTGCAATAATTCATGCGTGTTCTGTCTCACATGTCGCTTGGTGCCAACAGGTGATGCCTGTGCGCTGTAATATTTCGTGCACGCCTTAATTCAGTTTGCCTTCTTTGGCTCTTTTGCCCTTGAGTGACTTTTTGAACACTCTCGATGTGTCTCTCGACGGACCAACTTGCGCATCTCTCTGCGCATGGCCATTCATGGGGGTTAGCGATGCGCAAATGTGCCCCCCGGGGATCTGAGTGCGTTTTGGTTCCACAACCCGTCGCTTTAATTGCTGTAATTGACCTTGATGAAGCTCAGGTCATGCATTCTGGAACATATGTTCCGCATTGTCGATCTTTAGGTGGAAGCAATGCTCGGCTGCTCGTTGGCGCCGTGTTTTGTTTTGGTTGGGTGTTCGTGTGGTTTGTGTCTTCCCTGTCTGTGTTTCTGTTTTGTTTCTTCCCCGGCAGCTAGATTGGGTGCCTCTTTCGAGGGGCTTCTCCATGACCTTCCCAACCATGAGCTTCACCTTCCCGTTCTTCCGGATGTGGACCTATCAACGTCTGTGCTGGGGCTGGTTGAGTCAACAGCTGGGCCATTTGCACCACGCCCGTTGCCCTGCCGTCCTTTGGATGCGTGGGAAATCCGATTTTTACAAGGTAGCCTCTTTGCTCTTGCCCAAATCCTTTCCGCAAAAAGGGAAAGGAGGGAAGACAAAAACTGAAACATGAACTATGTTAGCATGCTATAGCTGTTGCTTGATCATCCGTGTTGCGTACGCACAGCAAAACTGAAACACCTATGCTACACCAAAAGTGCTTGGGTTACCCAAGCAAGACAGGGCAGCAGTTTGTTTTGACACTGGCGTTTGCTGAAGTGAAGCTGTGGGTTTGCGCCCAAAGGCACACGAAAGCAAGGAATATCCCAACAAAACAGACCAGTTGCGGCTTTGGAATTGGGATGCGGAGCCGAACTTGTTTTGCAGCTTCTGTAGCAGCAACTCAGCGAATTGGCGAAGGTGGACTGAAACTAGCCCTTGTTCCTGGGTTTTGCGATTGTTTGAAGTCGTCGTTTGTTTGCTGCCTGTGTGTTTGGCCTGGTTGCGCCAAACCGTTTCCAGCATCAGACTGATTGTGCACCATGCAGTGATTGCGCGCTTGCTCACAAAGTTCTGCAAACGTTAACCGCAGCGCTCTTTGCCAGTGAGCCAAATCCATGATTGGCAAACGGAGCTCATGTTGTCATGGGGAGCAGTTTGATTGGATATTTGTTGCCCAGACATTGCCAATTGGTTTTAGCCGCAACTATATTCAAGGTCTTTGGGTGATCACATGTCGTCGTGCCTGGTTGTTTCACAGTTTGTTGGGTATTGTCACGTTCTCGAGACCTTTTTTGCTTGGTGTGCGTGAAATGAAGAAGTATAAAGGTGGGGCATTTGTGTGGCGAGTTCGGGAACCTCAGAGGAATTTGTACAATGGATCCAGTATTTTCTTTCTTTCTTTTGATTTGGGTTACCCTTATATATTGTTTTTAGCACGCTTTGCCTAATGTACATTGAGTCAAGCTGGGCAAGCAAAGAAAGGACAAACATACAATAACTGATGCAATGCCATCCTTCACTTTTCAACATAGTTCTATTCCTACCGGGATGTTTGCCAGCGGTGATTTCAGACAAGATGCCACAGGTAGTCATTGCTCACATGTGGCCGAAATGTTTCGCAACATCACCCACTTGCATGGGTGACCAACGTACACCACAATGAGGCTGTCCTGATTTCAGATGTTGGATCATCTATCACCGAAGGTTGGAAACACTGGGTGTGTTTAGGCCCTTGCACCTCATACACACATGGCTGGGGTCCGTTCTTTTTGGCAGCATAGAAAGGGTTTCTTAGCAGTTGCCCAGGGCTGCCATTTTCAGCAGTGAAGTGTACGTGTTGTGGTACTGTGTGCAATTCAGGCTCTGATTTAGGGTGGGGCGTCTGAAGATAGCGAAAGCAGCTGGAGGCCTGCGGCCTGTGGCTTGATGGATGTGGTGGTTGCAGCGTCACTTTTTTTCTTCTTCTGAAATCAAGCAGATGATTGATCCCCCGTATGTTTGGGACTATGCTTTTTCCAAGCTTTAAACCATTTGCCCTGCTTGCTATGGCCGCACTTTTGTCCTGCGCCAAACCCAAACTCAAATACTTAGTTGCTTCGAGCCACGACATGTTTACGGCTATGGGCTTGCCACCTGAGACGCCTGGTTGCCACAGGTCTTTATTTCATGTTTAAGCCTTCCATAGGACATTTGTCCTACAAAGACGTATGCATGTCCATCACACCCCTAACAGTGCCAAAAAGGCTGCACAGGGTTTTATAAAGTGTTATCCTCAACCCTGTTGGGGCGAAATTCTCGGAGGTTGCAGATTCAATCAGTCAGTGGCTCACTTGTCCTCCGCAATCTTCATTTTGTTGGCCGCCTTTTTTAGGTTTGATACTGGTAGAGTTGCATTCAAATGACACTGTTTGTCGAGTCGCCTGAGCCTCGCAAGGACTTCCTGCCATGACATCATCAGAGTTTCAGGTGCGGATTTTGCGTTGATGGACATCTTGCACATCTTTAGCGAGCTTTGCATGTTGGAGGTGGAGGAGACCACGGAGACAGAGCCTTTGGGAGGTGAGCCAATCAAAGTGGAAGCACACTCCTCAGGGTTGCAGTTGACAAACTTGCAGAGTTTGGCTTCGGATGTTGTCATCCAGGAGGTTTGAAGCAACGGTGCGCTATGACCGCTATGATCGCTATGACCGCTACGACCGCTGTGACCGCTGAGGCAGTTTCACCCCATGCTGAATATGCACAAGTATCTGGCAGTCCAGCCCTTTCACCGACCGCGGTGCGCCCGATGCTGTCATTGTCTAGAGGAAACAAATCCTTTTCCACTTGCTGATTGCTTTCACTTCCCTGGCAGCCCGTGAACTTGGAGCTTCCCGTGAAACTGCTGCGCCGGCATCCTACATTGAGTTCACTGAGTGGTCTGCTTCAGATGTGTGCGCAGTTTTCTGTCAGGGTTGGACCATTCGCCTGTTCAGATCACGCAGTGAGCTCATCCAGACAAGTTGAGTAAAGTCTCGGGTTTAAGGGCAGTTGATGCATGGGAGAACAGGTATGAAGAAGAAGAAGAAGAAGAAGAAGAGCAAACGGAGCCATCTTATACACCTGCAGCACCTTGACAGAATGTGTTCCATGCTGCCACTCAGATGGCCTTCGCTGTGCTTTTGTGCATGGCGTCTGCATTAGGACTGGATTTTCAATCCAAGCCCAACCAGCGACATGCTGTCAGACGCAGATGCCTTAGTCAAGCTGACCAAGTTAAAGAATCTGCATTGTGTCCGCAACGGCTTGCTTGGTGTGCGAGGTTTGGAACTCACCGGAAGCCTGGAATCCATGGTTCGCAATGAAGCGCTGCCCTAAGAGAGAGAGAGAGAGAGTCACGAGGTTTGGGCTCGATGCGCTTTAAGTTTTTGGGAGCGACTCAACATGTGCGGCGCGTCTTGGTATCGAGGATGGATATGCCGTTTGTCGGCGAGCATTTTGAGGCATGGCCTTGCATGGCCTTGCATGGCATGGCTAAAGGTCTTAATGATTCTTCGGTTCAGGCCAATGCAGCGACTCCTCCAGAGAACATCAGCCACGGCTCAGCTATGCATGGGACTGGTTCTCACCTCAATTGGCCATCAAAGCAAGCTTTGATCATATAGCTTTCGCGATGCATTGGTGTGTTGCTTGTTTGCAGTGCCCAGGTGCTTGCAAGCCCTGTGCGCCCACGCCCCTGATTCTCTCCAATCAATCAAGGCTTCCACTAGAGAAAGGTGAAAAGCGCACAGATTTTGACTCAGAACACAGAACGCACAAATTGTAGGCAAAACACCAACAAGCATTCTGCATTGCCGAGGTGGTTTTGGAAACCTGGAAGCTGCCAGAACAAAGACCGACTCTTGATCTCAATCTTGCAGTCATCCGGATTGAGTGCAGAGACACGCAGGAGAATTGCAGCTATTGCCATCTCTGTCCAGAAGGAGCGTTCATGATTTTCAAGTGTTTCTCTTGCACTCGCTCGTTGCTTGCATCATGCTGCATGGGTGTTGATATCAGGTGAGCTGAAAGCAAGAAAGAAGGCTAAGGCCGAAAGCTTGCCTTCTATGCCTCACACACAAACAGAGTTCCACCCAGTGACACAGACAGAGCACACGTGAGGTTGCGATGATGCGGCTGGGCGTTATCACACCAAAGGCAGCCAGCTCCTTACACTTTTCTGGACACAGCAAACAAGTGCCGGGATTGCAAGGGGATCATGCCAGAGTGATTGCCGAAGGAGCACCCGGAGACAGTGCTGAACCTGGCCTCTTTGCTGTGGCCACGGTCTGTTTGTGCAGCTTGTCAGTTGCATTGCTGGGACATGCTTATTTCGCTTTTTG